CCTGGCCCCAGGGACTGAGATTATATGAGTCACAGGTAGGGGGGTGGAGACTAGGTGGGGGGGTGGGGCAGAGATTGGGGAAGGCGCCATTAGTAGATAACCCAAAATAGGTGCAAGCAGTGAGGAAGGGAAGTTGTTAGAGATTCCTGCCATGGGCCACCGAGGCATAGATTATATGCGAATACTACACAGCTTCACAGAAGGGACCGTGGTCTCTGTCTACTCAGCGTGTGAAGCAAAATCCTGGACTCCTGACCACAAAGAGGTTACCAGAGAAGAGACAGGGCCATGTGTTTCCATTCACCAAAACAAACAAACAAACAAACAAATAAAATCTTAATTTAAAGACAGATTTATGAAGGAGAGAGAGAAGGATCTTCCATCTGCTCGGTGGTTCACTCTCCAAATGGCATCAAGCTCAGCTGATCTGAAACCAGCAGCCAGGAGCTTCCTCCCGGTCTGCAACGGGCCAAAAAACCTTTGCCATCCTCCAGTGCTCTCCCAGACTATAAGCAGAGAGCTGCACTGAAGTAGAGCAGCTGGGACCAGAATCCACAGCCATAGGAGATGTTGACATCTCAGGGAGAGGATTACCCTGTAAGCCACAGTCCCAGCCCCGTGTCTGCGCCTCTTTGACTAAGGTGGTAGTTAGATGGCGCCTCGCCTGGCATCCAACACACCAAGCTGCACGCTTACAACTGGTAACTCTACAGTGTGTCAATTGTACCTCCCCCTCTGGGGAAGGCTCCCCGGGACCCCACAGCCACACTCACGGCCTCCTGCCCTCCCCATGGAACAGCATCCTGGCACACCCTCAACTTCCTCCTCTGCCAGGAGCCCTGCTCCAGTAGCTGGAGCTCGCACATTGGCAGTGACTACTGGAGTGAGGGTTCAGAGGCAGAGGCACGGCAGGTCCTGGGCTCTGTGACTGATGCAGAGGCTCATGTCAGAGCTGAGAACAATACAGAGGGCTGGTTTGAATGGGCCAGGGGTGGGAATGCGTGGGCCGGTATTTGAGTCCTGCTGCGGAGGGGGAGGTGATAACCCAAGGTCCTGACAGGGTGCTTCGATGACATAGTTTGGGATGTTCACTTTGGAAAGCTGCCAGCGACCCCCAGCTCTGCCTCAGTGGTCCTGTTGTAGAACTGGGAGTCTGGGTGGCAGGATGGAGACTGGTGAGAGTCAGCCAGTGGAAGGACAGGGGGCTGACTGTTAACACCAGCGAGTATCCAATCAGCTGCTACAGTCACCTGCGTGCGCCTTTCAGGGCAAGGGTGAAGCCAGCTCTTGAGTATCTGGGTTCAAGCCCCCCAGCTTACCTCTCTGCACGTGCTGATGCTGCCCCCACCACTGCCGCCACCACCCATCTGCAGAGTCCCGGGATGGAGCTCCTGCCTCCTGGCTTTGCCTTCTGGCCGTGGAAGGCACTGGGGGCTTAACCAACAGATAGGTCTCATGCTGTTGAAATGCACAAGTTTTCAAATACAACCAACGGAAAAGCATCAGTTACAGCTCAATGAAGTTGGTTTTGAAAACAGCAGTCTGGCTTGCTTGAGTCTCTAGTGCTGCACAGCCCGCTAAACAGTGCCTGCCTACCTTCTCCACCCCCTCTCCTGTCCAGAGCACAGAGCTCTTCCCAGCCAGACATCCGCGATTCAACCAACTGCAGGTATAAACTATCCAGAACAAAAACCGCTTCCGTCTGCACTGAACATACACAGGAGTTTTGTCCTGCTGTTATCCCCTAACTCTGACGACTTATTTACACATCATTCCAACTGCCTTAGGTGTCATAAGCTAGAAGTGATATAAAGTTTATGGGAGGGGGGCCCAGAGTGATAGCTCAGTGGCTAAATCCTCGCTTCCAAGTGCCAGGATCCCACATGGGCGCTGGTTCATGTTCTGGCCACTCCACTTCCCATCCACCTCCCTTGTATCCTGGGAAGGCAGTGGAGGATGGCCCAAAGCCTTCAGATCCTGCACCCAAGTAGGAGACCTGGAAGAAGCTCCTGGTTCCTGGCTATCAGTTCAACTGTAGCCATTGTGGCCACTTGCGGAGTGAACCTGTGAACAGAAAATTTTTTTTGTCTTTCCTCCTCTCTCTGTAAATTTGCCTTTCCAATAAAAATAAATCTTTAAAAAAATTTTTTTTAAAGTGCATGGGAAGTTGCGCATGACCTGCACAAGTTCTGCACCACCTTATAGAAAGGACTTGAGTCCCTGTAGATTTGGGGGTCCACCGGGGTCCTGGGTAAGGTGCAACTGCTGTGGCAGGTTAAACTACCTTCTACAATGACAACAACTCATTTGAGCAATGGTTCATGTTCTGGCTGCTCCACTGCCGATCCAGCTCCCTGCTTAATGTGGCTGGATAAAGCAGTGAAGGATGGCTCAAGTGCTTGGCCCCGGCACCCGCGGGGGAGGGAGGTCCAGATGGGAGTTTCCTGGCTCCCATCTTGAGCTTGGCCCAGTCCTGGCCATTGAGGCCATCTGGGAAGTGAATCATCGAAAGGAAGATCTCTGCCTCTCCCTTTCTCTGTCTGTAACTCTGCCTTTCAAACAAATCAATACATCTTTAAAAATAAATAAAGTAAAAAGGAAGTGTTTCAGGTTGCAATCCCTCACATTCTCAAACCTCAGCCAAACTCTGGGTCCACTTGAACTCACTGGGCTGTCTATACCGCGGCTGATCCCCAATCTTGTCTGCAAACCAGACAGCCTGACTCCCACCCACCCATCCTGGTGCTGTCACTTGACACTGGAGTTGACAACCCATCTATGCAACGCCACATTTCCATGGCTAGCGTCTCCCTACTATTTTTTCTTTCCTCTTCACTCTCACACAGTGTCTAGCCCCGCCTCCCCCACCAGACATCCAGAACAAACTTCTAATCCAGCTTGCTCACCAGGGTGGCAGGACAGTCGTAACTGCTGGCATTTCACAGGCAGGCGGTGCAGAGGGGTGGTGCTGCAGCAGCTCAGCCTGTCAGCTCAGGACACACGTATCTCATGTGTGTGCCGGAATGGCTGTTTCTAATCCCAGCTCCCTGGCTGCCAATCCAGCTTCTTGCCACTCATGTGAGACACCCTGATGGGGCTTCAGCCTGGCTCCGCTGTGGCTATTTTGGGCATTTGGGCAGTTGAACTCATGGATGAAAAAATTCACCTCTCAGTTGCCTTGACTTACTAATAAATAAATGAAATTTTGGGGTCTGCAGGGGTGGCACAGCAAGCTAATCCTCTGCCTGTAGCACCGACATCCCATATGGATAGCCAGTTTGAGTCCTGGTTGCTCCGCTCTGTATTCAGCTCCCTGCTTATGACCTGGGAAAGCAGTGAATGACAGCCCAAGTCTTTGAGACCATGTACCCACGTGGGAGACCAGGAAAAAGCTCTTGGTACCCGGCTTTTGATCAGCTCAGCTCTGGTCACTGTGGCTATTCGGGGAGTGAACCAGCAGATGGAACATCTTTCTGTCTCTCCTCACTGCAAATCTGCCTTTTCAGTGAAAAGAAATAAATCTTAACTTAAAAAAAAAAATTCGTTGAAATTAAATGTTTATTTTGGCACACGACAATCTGAGATCCAGGCAGAGGAGAGGGTCTCCCAAACACTCATGGGGGTTGGCACAGTGGCGCAGCCGGTTAATCCTCTCACTGAGATGTCGGCATCCCATGTGCACATGGGGCTCTGGTCACTCATGTCACTCCATGCAGACCACCCTTCTGCTGCGTCTTGCCAGCTGCTTCCAGTCCCACACGCCAGGGCAGATACACCTTGCAGGTGCTCACTGCTGTCCTGGTCTCTTCTGCTCTAAGTGTCCCACATGTGCTGGCTCAGTTCCTGCCTTCGGTCCCCAGCTATAAGTGGACCCTGCCTGTTCCGCCACTGGCCCTTCTACGGCCTCCCCCCAGGTCCCATGTTCCTTCAGTGCCACCAAACCAGGGCACACATTTTCTCACCCAACCAACAGGTCCCTGACACGCTAGGCCACCGGCCCTTTGCCCCTAGCTCCACCCCAGGTGCCCCAAGCTTTTCACCCACTGCTTGGTCACCTTCCTTATGGGACCAAGCCCCGAGCCACTGGACGCAATGCCATCCATGGGCAGCTGGGATGCCCAAACACGGGAGTTCTCAAAGCTCCTCAAATGCTACTACCAGATACGCTGGGCTTGCCATTTCCACAACTCACGTAAATCTCGCCAGCTCCAGGCAAGTCCATTCTGTTTATAATAAACTCTCAGAATCTCCCACACACCTATAGGTCTCCATGCTCCATTGTATTTCCTGGCTCTCAATCTCTTTAAAACAAATGAGACATGCCCGATGAAGGCCAAACAAGAAGGCATGGATGGAGCGGAGCCGTGGCGTAGTACTCTAAGCCTCTGCCTGTGGTGCTGGCATTCCATTGTGGATGCTGGTGGTTCAGCTCCCAGCTAATGAACCCGAGATGACAGCAGAGGATGGCCCACGTGCTCAGGCCCCTGCACCTGTGTGGGAGACCCAGAGGAAGCTCCCAATTCATGGCTTTTAACCCAGCTCTGGCTCTAGTAGCCATTTAGAGATGTAAGATCATTTTCTCTGAAACCCTACTTTTTCAAAGAAACAAAAACAAAAAAGCCTGCCTATCCAGTCAGATGTTTCTCTCTGGAACACTTTCCCAGAAGCCAAGTCCTTATAAGGCCCTCCCATTCCACCCATCATTTCACCCAAGTTCTAAACTCAAAATCGTGGGTCACTCATGCTTCTACCCGGGCTGCTTTTACACCCGTGCTCCCCTCCCCCAGGCTCAGGAGTCCCCACTGCGTACATTTGTCTTCTTTCCTCAAGGAGACAAACCGAGAAGGTTACCCTTAGTCTGTGCCCCTGGAAGACCAAAGTCACACCAGCCTTTACACCCCGGTGACTGATGGAGCCGCTGCTAGGACAGCAGCTCTCCGCTACCAGCCCACTCCATCCCCCAGCCCCAGCGTCGGGCGGCCCCTCCACCTGTGCCCTACCTTGTTCAGGCAAGGTGGGCGCTGGTCTGGCCGTGCAGAGTGTGGCTGTGACCAGCACAGCCCAGAAGAGCAGGCACTTCCAGCCCCACATCCCAGTTGTGCGGTTAGAGGTTGGTGATGAGGCTCCACATCTCCATGGATACTCCACCTTGAGCTCAGTCTGTCTTCCCAAGCTTGCTCTAGGGGAAGAAGGAGGGAGATGTTAGGAGGGCCAGGGTGGGGAACAGCAGGTAGAGAACAAATCTACTCCTTAAGGCACAAACCAGAGAGCTGTTATCATCTGCAATTTGAATACAAGTACTGTGGGCTGGTGCAGTGGCACAGCATGCTGATCCTCCACCTGTGGGGACCAGCATCCCATATGGATGCCAGTTAAGAGTTCTGGCTGCTCCATTTCCTGATCTAGCTCCTTGCTTACGGAATAGGAAAGCAGCAGAAGATGGCCTAAGTCCTTGGGATCCTGCACCCAAATGGGTGACCTGGAAGAAGTTTCCTGTTCTTAGCCTCAGATCAGTTCAGCTTTGGCCAATGCAGCCATTTGGGGAGTGAACCAGCAGATGGAAAACTTTTCTCTGTCTCTTTGTAAATCTTTCAAATTATATATATATAATAAATATATATATTTATATATATATATTTAAATATATATTTAAGGTATAGGTCTTAATTTGAGGGGGTGTTGTTTTTAAAAGATACATTTATTTATTGGAAAGGTAGCGGGACAATGAGAGGGAGGAAAAAAAACCAGAAACAGAGGAATCTTCCATTTAGTCCATTCCCCAAAGGCATATAACATCCAGGACCAGGCCAGGACAAAAGCAGAACTCTGGTCTCCCGTATGGCTGAGTAGGTACCCGAGTAGTGCCTAAGTACTTTATCTTCTGCCTTGGTAGCAGCCACTGAGTAGCTGGGCACTCCAGCACAGGAGGCAGGCGTCCCAAGTGGCTTAACGTGCTGTGCCACAAGGGCCTGTCTCAAACAGCTGCTTTTGCTCAATTCTACAGCAGATTTTTGGGTCTAGACTATGTGGCAAGCCTGTCTGGGATTATCATCCTGAAGTACTCCAAGGCAAAAGCCTCAACATGGTTCAGACAAGACAGCAAATCGCCTCAAACCAAGAGTCCCAAGTAGTTGGGGCCAGCACTGTAGCATCCCACATGAACAGCATTGGTTCAGAACCCCTGGAGGCTCCCCTTCCCATCCAGCTCCCTGCTAACGCCACGGGGAAAAGCAGCAGAAGATGGATCAAGTGCTTGGACCCCTGAGGCCCAGAAGAACGAGGTGGACGAGGGTTCCAGTTTCAGCCCGGCCCAGTCCCCAACTATTGTAGCCATCTGGGGAGTGAGTAAAGCATTACTTCATCAAAGAGCCCAAAGGATTCACCAGTGCACTAGAGCTGCGGGAGACTGAAGTATGCTAATGATGCTCGGGCCAAGCCAATCCCACCGGGGGAGAGAGAAGGGGAAGTGAGCCGCCAGGGACCAGACAACCAGTCAGAGCGGCAGAAACAGGGGCTGAGATGCCTCTCCCCGTAGGGATGCAATGAGAGAAATTGAAAATTAATTACCTGCAGGGCTTTTTTTTTTTTTTTTTGCCTCTCCAAGGGCCCAAATCAACAGTGTCTCTAGTCCTAACACCTCACTAAGTGCACAAAAGCCTCAGCCTAGGGCTGCGCTGGGGCCTAGGGGGTAAAACGCCACCTACCCACAGCACAAGCATCCCGTAAGGGAGATGCTTTGGGTCCAGGTTGTGCCATTTTCCCAACCCAGCCCCTGCTCATGAGTCTGGGGAGGCAGTGGAGGATGGCCCAAGTGTTTGGGTCCCTGCAAGTACATGGGAAACCCAAAAGAAGCTTCTGGCTCCTGGTTTCAGACTGGTCCAGTCCCAGCCATTGCAGTCACTTAGAGAGTGATCCAGTATATGGAGAAGGAAGATGTTTCTCCGGAAACCAAAACCAAAACCAGGCCCACTGTGGTGGCTCAGTGGCTAAAATGCTAGCCTTGCTTGAGTGCTGCTTTGTGTCCCGGCTGCTCCACTTCCCATCCAGCTCCCTGCTTGTGGTCTGGGAAAGCAGTTGAGGATGGCCCAAAGCCTTGGGACTTTGCACCCGCATGGAAGACCCAGAAAAAGCTTCTAACTCCTGGCTTCGGATTGGCTCAGCTCTGGCTGTTGCAGTCACTTGGGTAGCGAACCAGTAGATAAAAGATTTTTCTGTAAATCTGGCTTTCTAATAAAAATAAATTCTTTAAAAAAAAAAAAATTCCTGCCTAAAGAAACCTTCAGGATGCTGAACCAGGAGGTGGAGCCATGGCTCGCACACGATGCCACTCCCTGGGAGGTGAAACAGGCATTGCCTAGGAATTAGTCTAAGAATGGAGGGGGAGAAGGCCTGACTTCAGAGGGAGAGTGGGTCTCGCAGCAGCAGCAGCAGCAGCAGCAGCAGCAGCAGCCCAGCCGCTTCTGGGGTCTGGAGCAGAGTGGAAAACCACACTCCACAAGCCTCTCTCAGGCTCCCAGGCAGAGCTGCCCGTCTCTGCCTTCCAGGTGGCTTCTGTCCTAAATGCCAGGGCCAACCATCCAAGTTATTCAGAGAATCCACTCCCCGGAACATGCCCTGCTGGGGCGCTCCAGGCAGGGCCCTGCTCCAGTGAGTCAGTCCCCAGTTGGCAGAAAACCCCAGGATTCTTGGCCCCGTTCACATGTCCTGGGCCAGTGGGGCCCGCAGAGACCGGCACCAGCTCCCTCCCGAGATGCAATGCTTGAACACTACAAGTCAGAAGAATCAATTATGGCCCGGCGCAGTAGCCTAGTGGCTAAAGTTCTTGTCTTGCACATGCTGGGATCCCATATGGGTGCCAGGTCGTATCCCGACTGTTCCACTTCCCATTAAGCTCCCTACTTGTAACCTGGGGAAACAACAGAGGATGGCCCAAAGCCTTAGGACCATGTACCTGCATGGGAGACCAGGAAAAAGATCCTGGCTCCTGTTTCCTTCAGAGCAGCTCAGCTCCAGCTACTGTGGCTACTTGGGGAGTGAACCAGAAGATGGGACATCTTTCTGTAAATCTGACTTTCCAATAAAAAGAAATTTTAGGGGCCTGGCAGCATGGTCTAGTGGCTAAAGTCCTCGCCTTGAATGCCTTGGGATCCCATATGGGTGCCGGTTCTAATCCCTGCAGCTCCACTTCCCATCCAGCTCCCTCTATCTGTGACCTGGGAAAGCAGTTGAGGACAGCCCAAAGCCTTGGGACCCTGCGCCCCTGTGGGAGACCTGGAGGAGGTTCCTGGCTCCTGGCTCCAGATCGGCACAGCACTGGCTGTTGCGCTCACTTGGGGAGTGAATCAACGGACGGAAGATCTTCCTCTCTGTCTCTCCTCTTCTCTGTGTATCTGACTTTGTAATGAAAATAAAATAAATCTTTAAAAACAAACTAAATAAATTTTAGAACAAAACAAAATAAAACTTAGCTCTGCTAAAAAAAAAAAAAGAACCAAGTAAAGGATTCTTGCATGTTCCAACATTTAAGAAGAGGAAAAAGGAAGCTTTTTATTTTTTTTTAAAGATTTATTTTTATTATTTTTTTATTGGAAAGGCGGATATACAGAGAGGAGAGACAGAGAGGAAGATCTTCCGTGCGTTGATTCACTCCCCAAGTGAGCGCAACGGCCGATACTATGCCGATCCGAAGCCAGGAACCTCTTCTGGGTCTCCCACGCGGGTGCAGGGTCCCAAAGCTTTGGGCCGTCCTCGACTGCCTTCCCGGGCCACAGGCAGGGAGCTGGAAGGGAAGCGGGGCTGCCGGGATTAGAACCGGCGCCCATATGGGATCCCGGGCGTGCAAGGCGAGGACTTAACCACTTGCGCCACCGCGCCGGGCCCAAAAGGAAGCTTTTTAAAAGATGACTGATTTGAAGGGTCAAGAGCAACTCTCCAGATGGCCGGCTAAGGGCAAAGACTGGGAGCCTGGAACTCCAGCAGGGTCTCCCACGCGTGTGCAGGGGCCAAGCTCAGGGGCCATCCTCAGCTGCTTGCCCACGTGCATTAGCTGGGAGCTTATGGGAAGTGGAGGAGCCGGGACTGAAACCCGAGCTGAGGAGAGACATCCCAGCTAGGGTACAACACACACTCCTGGCCCTGGAAGGAAAGTAGCATTGTTAATGGAACACCTACTAAAAGCCAAGCCTGTACAGCTTGAAAACTATGCAACTGCCTTGATTCCATGCTCTACATTCAAGGGGAAAATGATCCCTTCCCTTTAAGTCTTCAAAGGGGTTAAGGACTCTGCCTAAGGACCCAGCACTCAGGTCTTCATATGTTAACGAGGACAGGATGGACAGGATGGAGGCCATCAAACCTAGGGAACTTGGCTTTATCTGATGCAAACTCTCACACCACAAACAAAAAGCAGGGCCCAATTCAGTAGCCTAGCAGCTAAAAGTCCTCACCTTGTACACTCCTCGACCCCATATGGGCACTGGTTCTAATCTTGGCTGCCCGTTTCCCCTTCAGCTCCCTGTTGAGGCCTGGGAAGGCAGTCGAGGACGGCCCAAAGCCTTGGGACCCTGCACCCACGCAGGAGATCTGAAAGAGGCTCCTGACTTTGGATCGCTTCAGCTTTGGCCATTGTGGCTGCTTGGGGAATGAATCAAAGGATGGAAGATTTTCCTCTCTGTCTCTCCTCCTCTCTATGGAACTGCCTTTCCAATAAAAATAAAGAAAAATCTTAAAACACACACACACACACACACAATAAGTAGATGAGCACAAAATCCTAGGAACTCCAGAGATGAAAGAAGGAAGCTTACAAACACATCACAGAAGGTTCATATAAGAAGGATGGGCTCTGGCCCAGGTCTAGGGGCTAACAATGTTTCTTTAGGGCCAGCATTTCTTGGAGTAGTCCTGGCTATTCTGCTTCTGATCCAGCTCCCTGCTAATACAGCTAGGAAAGCAGAGAAGGATGGCCCACATGCTTGGGAGACTGGGATGCAGTTCTAACTTCCTGGCCCTCTGCCTGGCCCAACCCCACCTGCCAAAGCCTTTTGGGGAGTGAGCCAGCTGACGGAAAATCTCTTTGTCTCTCCTTTGCTCTCTGGGACTCCACATTTCAAATAATTCCTCCCTCCCTTCCTTCCTTCCTTCCAAGACAGATATATTTCATCTGCTGGTCCATT